TTGTGGAATGAGAACCAGACCTGTGTGGGTGCTCTGCTTTCCTTACTGCCCGTGCTTTGAATTTTGAGCAGCACTTGCAGAATTTGCTGCATCTTTATGTGGGAAGAGAGTAGCACAGTTAATGTTATGCATCTGTTTCACTCATTAGAGAACTAGAACTTCTAAATTTTATACATGTTATTTTAACTTTATATTTGAATTTGCTCAACTTCTGCATTCTAGTCCCCAGAGCATAGGAGGCACAACATTTACAGGTGACCCCAATTCATATAACATCTCCTGTGGAGACCTAATCTGATTTTACTAATCTAAAACTGGGAGGATTCAAAAAGAAATCCCAATATACTGAAGATGTTTTCTATTTCAAAGCTTTCCATGTGCAATAGTCCTTAACCAAACTCCTTTACCTTTGTATAGTTTAGTCTTGACCTAGAATAGTCTCACTTACACCTAAGAGTTGGCATCTCTTTGCAAAATTGACCTCTTGTTTACAATTTTATACTAATCACCTTACTGACCTTTCAGTATTGAATTTATTTGCTGTTGCAGTGCCCTACTCTCTACTGTCTGAATATTAAATGTGTTTGTTTTCCCAGAGGGCTAGAGAACATTGGACAAAAGGGTTCAGCAGGAGAGAGTGAAATAAAAAGAGGTTGTGAGTCTTTAACCTTGAGCCTGAAATGAATGTGAACCGAACTCCAGATACTTGGCTTAGATGAAGCCAGGTAAACATTCGAGTATAAGCCCACACACTACAACCAGAACACAGCTGTTGGTGCTTACCAGGCTTTGGAGATTTTGCCTAGACTGTTGTACTTAGGACTGACATTCTGAATATCAACTTTTTCTTCTGATGGGAGAAAAAATTGTAGTATCTAAAATTCTATTTCTTTTTTGTTGTTGTTTTTTTTTTCTTCTTTTTTTTTTTTTTTTTCCTTGCCTGATGCAGTATAATAAATCTGAATTTCAAGGTGGGATGAAGCTGAAGAGTTTTTTTCTGTTACAGCTCCAGAGAAGAAAGAAGTGGAAACTTATAGCAATGTCAAAAATGTCCTGAAGTGTTGTCCCCACAGTCTTTTGTTAAAAGCAGTTCATTTTTTTCTGTTGTCTCCATTACTGTGAGAAAAGGGAGCTGTATCTCACTGTTTGTCTTCCCTTGGCATTGTCAGTCTCATAAAGAAACACCATTACATGAACTTACACAGTTCATACTAAACCAACACTTCCCAGGTTCTATCCATCATGGATGTCCCTGCTTTTCCATGCTTTTACAGCCATAACAACATCCCAAGTTCATCTGCTTTATTTTATCTCCAAAAAAAACCTAGCTGGGCTTTGTTTCAGCAGAGCCCCAAAACATTTTTATACCAGATACTACCTCAAACCTTGAATTTAAGCATGTATTAAAAGAATTTGTTGCTGTTGGGCCATGTAACTCTGGCTAAATAATATTTTTAAATCTGGGAGTTGGATCAGCTATAATAGGTAGATTAAATATTGTAGTATTATGGTAGAGAAATTAAAATGCCACTTTTATATGCAACAACCCCCCTGCCTTTGTTTCCACAAAGTTTTGTCCCTAAAATCAATAATTTAATCAATTGGGGGACAGGCTTTGAAAGAGATTTTGAATTTTATTGCTATGCAGAAATTCTGTCACTGAATGAAGTGTGACTTAAAAAAAAAAACCCATGTTTTTTTCTGGATGCCAAGCTAAGTATGCAACATTTTAAGCTGAGGAGGGAGTTTCCTCTAAAGTGAAAAATTAATGGAAATCAAACATACATCTATGTAGAGAAATTTTAAGTAAAGATATGGGTTTCTACAGCTCCCTTGTGAAGAAAACTCTTTAGAAATTTAATTTGATTTATTGTCAGCTTTAGGGACTTGCCCAGTTTGGCCTGTCCATGACCATTGCCTTCAGGAGGTGACCTACCTTAGGTGTTGTACAAACCAATGGGAACAAGTAGAAGCCATTCCAGAAACACCTCAATGTTCGTGCAAGACCCATACAATCCAGGCCAAAAATTCTGCCACACACCTTCACCCAAAGTGAGAGGCTGCAGTTCTGTCTTCAGGTCATGCAGCTAAAAGTCATTATTGCTCCCCTCAATGTCTCATTAATTAATTAATTGCAGAGCCACTGCAGAGCCCCAAATCCAGGTCATGGCAGGCACATTTGCAGAGCTGCCTATCAAACACAGCTGGAATCTGTAGTTTTCCCTGGATGGATTAGGTGCTTGGAATTAAATCCAAACAAGATGCCAAATATTGCTATTAAAGCAATGCAGATGCTTTCCCTACTGTGGGACGTGCAGCTCACAAATTGACATCAGTTCCTCCCTTGCTAAATCTTGCAGGCTTAAATATAATTTGTGTGATGAAGAAAAGCTTTCCTTTCTTTGGATTCTGCTGGATCTGTTCAGGATAATAACAAACTCTTTTATTTAAGTAAAAATTTACCTTCACTATAAAGAATCCAGCTGGCAAATAGAACCTAAGTCTATGCCATAAGAAGTGTTTCCAAGAAAATAGAATTATCTTGTTAATTGAATATCTCTAGCATCCAGCTGCAGCTGAAGAGGTGACTGGTATTTGTGCTTAGAAAACAGAAATAATGGGGAGGTTTGCAGAAATGTCACCTCATCAGGCCATACTAGAAAGTACCCATGGTACAGAAAGTTTCCTGATTTAAAATAGCGATATATGGGAATGTGATTTTAAGGCTGCCTCAACAGTCATACAATTTTTTTCATCATTTAGACTAATTACTCTGCACTTTAAAAGACAAGTTAGGAGGGCATGGATAGTGAAGGGATTTGTCACCTTTTCTGTCTTTAGCAATGCAGATGAATCTCTTACCCCACTCTGTTGACTCTACAGAGCCCTCACACAGCTCAGATGCAGCTCTCATAAACCCCTGGTTTTTAATTCCAGGAGCTCTCTTAGGTACACTGTGTGACTGCAGTGGGTGAAACTGATTCCAAATTTATTTGTTGATTTTTTTTTTTTTTAAATGCAAGACAATCTTCCCTCTTGCGCCTCTGCCAACCTAAAATGTTCTCGCACCCCAAGGCCTGGCTGAGCCGTCCTGTGCCACTCCAATCCTTTTACCTGGAGCATAAGCAGTCACATGAACTACTTTTTGTACTGTGCCCTGCTGTTACCAAATGTATCTGTGAAGGGAAGGGAGAGAAGGGCTGCCCAACGATCTGAGCATGGCAGGACTTCAGCTGTTAAGATTTTTAAAAGATGGCGAATATCCAAATTTAGAGAGCATAAACAAGGACTGAGATCAAAGAGAAAAAAACCCCAAAACCAAACCAAGTCAACCTCCTACCTCCTCCTCAAATGTGCTGAAATTCTGTACAACTTGGCCAGCTCCAAGCATGGGATCAGCTGGACCCCACAGCTGGAACCCTGTGGCCCGTGCCATTACTGAAGTGCAGTCTGCCAAGGAAAAGAGGAATTAAAGCTTTCCAAAGCAGTGATGTATCAGGCCAACTAACAATGTGCAGCATAGTTACATGTAAAAAGATCCACATGCCAACCACCAAACCATTTCAAATGTGTGTGGAGAAGCTTTCACAGTACCTGCTTGCACCTTTTCTGCCTCTGCCTGTGTTTTAGTCTCCCCCCTGAGAAATGCTCAAGGTTCGCTCATGGGCTACATGGAAGCAGAGGGATAGAACTCATACTTAGTCATGAAACATTTGCCAACAGATCACGTTTTGCCATTCTGTTTTTTCCTCTCTGCCCCTCCGCTCCCTTCCAAAAACTTCTGTTTTTTTCAGCAGTAACCCAGCACAACCTTTCACTTCTTTTGAGAACTGGTAGGTCCCTGGGACGTAGAGAGCATCCCTCCCTTTGCCCACCCACAGAGGACGTAGTGTCCCTGCTCCTCGCTCTGCTCCTCCCATTTCCTACTGGGAAAATGGTGGGCACCATCCCTGAGAATCGCTGGGCTCAGTCTTGAGTTGATTTTCACCTCTGTTCTTACTGCCAGGTGGTTTCTGGCATTAGGTGGCCCCTGGCACAGGTCACTGACCTGATTTAAAGACTGCATAAATGGCATAAATCGTGTGGCTTTCAGCATTTAACTGCACAACCAAGACACCAAATCCAAACAGCTCGCTGTTAACAATGGGACTCAATTCAACCCAACAACCAATCCATTATTTTATTACATGTTCTTCTATTTATTAACAAGCTGAATGGCTAGAACAGTGGGTCTATACTCGAGTGTTTACCTCACATCTGCATGAAGGACAAATAAAAGTTGGTTCAACAATACTATGTTCACATTATCCAGGCTTCCAAGTGTAGTTGTTGTGTGCAAGTTATCTCTGTTCATGTGGTAACTGTGATTCCCCCCCCACCCCCTCCGTGGTAGCATGATTACGCTTAGTACTTTGTCTGCTTGGCTTTTTGTGCTCTTGGCTGCATCCATTTAGATTTTGCTTTAAAACATTGATATTCTAGTTTTCACACTTGGCTCCTGTGTGTGTCTCATACGTATCCATCCAACCGTGTCCGTGTTCCGTGCTTTTCTGTTTGTGAAGTGTGATATGTTATGTGTAATGGTTTTTTTAACCACAATACAAAAGAGACTTTTTAATTTTAAAAAGCCTTTCTACTTACTCACTGCAAAAAAAATCAAAAAACTATCAACATGCATGGTTTGACATTTGCATTACAATTAACATGGCTTGTCTTTTACTAGGGATGTACCACACGAGTGGACCTTGGCTTTCTTTAACCACTCCTCCCCATCAGTTCTTTGATGGCTTTAAACCTTGGTTTATTTTAATATTGCAGTTGGTACAGACATTCAAAATGCACATAACTGAGCCACTCGTTTATGCATATAACATCCAGAGACTTTGGACTCCAGCTGCCTGCACTGCCCTAACCATGTGCTACATTTTTCACCAAGTGTTCTCTGCCCCCTGTGCCCTGGGGAGGTGCCCTCTGACAGCCCTTTCCTTTTCTCCCCCCAGATCCGCGTCGTGAAGGCATTCCGTAGCTCTCTCTATGAAGGTTTAGAAAAACCAGAATCTAGAACCTCTATTCACAACTTTATGACTCATCCTGAATTTAGGATAGAAGATTCCCAGCCCCACATCCCACTCATTGATGACACAGACCTAGAAGAAGACCCTGCTCTCAAGAAAAACTCGAGTCCACCGTCCTCGCTGAACAAGAACAACAGTGCTATCGACAGTGGAATCAATCTTACAACTGATACAAGTAAATCAGCTACCTCTTCTAGTCCAGGAAGCCCAATACATAGCCTGGAGACATCACTTTAGCTGAAAAGGCCACTGCAAAAAGAAAAAAAAAAAAAGAAATATAAAAAGTTAAAGTAAAATAAAATAAGAAACCCCACAGCAACCGAGATATATAAATATATATATTAAAAACATTGCTGGCTGAAAAGCTGTTTGAACTCTTATTCACTCTGAGACAAGTGAATGAATTGTTGATCACAATGGTTCTGGGGAAAGAATGAATGGCTGATTTACATACCCCCCATTCCCTTTCAGAAAAACAAAAACAAAAAAAAAATCCTCCTGCATGAATGTACTGTACACTGCTGGCCCTTCTTTCTCTCTTTTTGTTTGTTTTTATTTCCTTTTTGGTTTTTTTTTTCTTTTGTTTTTTTCCTCCTTAAGCAGGAACTGCAGAGGACTTCTTTCTGAGGCTATTTATCCAATTCACTGGTCTGTGAGTTTTTGAAATGCTTGTGTGGCATGGACTCAATTGTATAGATTAATTTAAATAACTTTTTTGAAGTTGCGAAGCTTAACTTGCACAGTAGATTTGCACCAGTTGGACAGAGGAACTTAAACATTTATGAGACTATATATAGAGATATATACATATAAGTATATAGATAATTAATTATATATATGTATATATCTATCTATATATATATAGTTATATATATATAAAGTTTCTTTGTTGGCATGTTGCCTTGTTTCTGCTCAAATTGCTCTGACTATTTTAACTTATTTATGTCCTAAAAAAGAATGTAATTTGTTTACAAACCTGTAGATAATATCCTTAACTATTTGTAGGGTTAAGAAAGCACTTCCTGCCGAAGTAGTATAAAAATGGCTCAGCTCAGCTCATTGAAAATGTCTGTACTCTCGCACCCTGGATATTTTATTACAACCGTGCTCTGATTTCTGCCTGATTTCTTTTTTGGGGTTTTTTTTTGGTCTTTTTTTTTTTTTTGTTAATAATGTAGATACTGCTAGTAAATAACAAAAGAAGCCAAAATATAACACATTGGATGTAGCATTGTGATCCTATATACAGGGAGGTAAACCAGGCTTCCTTTGTTTCAAATAAAAATCAAAATGATCAGGTTCTCTCCTTTTATTTTTTTCCTTCCTTCCCTCTGATAATCTGCTTGAACTCGTTTTGGTGCAACATACAATAATGGAGGCTATTTCATTCTTCAGACATACAGCAATGGCTTCGGAAACTATTTTTAGAGAGACATTAAATGAGTTTATAATTTGAAATAACTTATATTTGGTTTGTCTATATGGAGATAAAAGAAATGTTAAAATCTTGTGATATACTGTGTTAATCCTTTTCAATTAGTACTTTAGGCATTTATTTCCTTATTATTTGCAAAGTACGGGCTGTTGGCATTTTGGATGAAAATCACTGTAGGTTGTTGCTTTGATTTTTTTTAAACAAAAATATAATTTCTGAACTATTAGGACTGAACAAATCTTTATTAATTGTGTATTGAGATGTGCTTTGTGTGATTTTTTTTTAATCAAGCTTGTGTTCCTGCAGTAACACAGTAATACATTATTTTACCTTGAGCTTTCTACCAAGAAAGCTGCTTTGAAAACCTGCAGTATGGAAGGCGACAAACATTTTTCAAGATGGTAACAGCCCTAAAGACGTAAAAATTATGAGCTTATACAATTGCTATGTTAACCACTTGAATGCTAAGCACTTTGTGGATCACAGATTTTTCATAAATAATTTTTGTATTTAATATAAAGTTTGCTTGGAGACTTTTCAGCATATGATTTTTTCCATAACTGTACAGTGCAAAAGACATTTGGAGTTCCACAATCGATTATGCCAGGCGTGTCGGAACAAAACACTCTCCAACCCTCTCGATCCGTTGAGTCGTTAAGGTGTCTTTCTGGTTGTCCTAAAGTTGGCTCCATAGAGTGGTGCATCTCTGCAGTCACAGCAGCTTAACCAAGCCAGAACTCTCCAAACCAAGCTTAGACTCATGGCCAAACTGCAGACTGACCCCGATTTCGGGGTGCATCAGGACTCTCAGCAGGTAAAGCTCTGAGCAGTTCCCTTGCCGGCGGCCGGACCCCATGCTGGGAGCGCCGCTGGCTGGGCTCAGCCTCAGCCCCGTGGCACTGGCAGGTGCCCAGGGGAGCAGGGCACTGCCAGGCACCAGCCACGGCAGGAAGGTGCTCTGTACCCGGGGGTTCCCCTGCACACCCGCAGCGGCTCCCCAGCGCCTCGGGCAGCTCTGGCCAGAAGACAAAAGCGGTATCTATTGACAGGGAAGCCTCTAGCTTTGGACTTGAACATCTACAGAAGCTATTAATACTGGAACGGTTTCTTTTCAGCATCTTAACACACTGACTGTTTGCCTTTTTGTTTTCCAACACTCTTCATATGTTTTCTCGGTTCCATTTTTTTTTTTATTTTTGAATTTTTTCCTGTAGGAGTACCCCTCCCTAAGGTACCATTCGCAGACTTGAAAACTGTTAAGAAAATGAACACTGCATTCTGTGTATATATAGTAAAACATATATAAACTGAGATGCATAGAAAACTTGGGCTTTTGTGAGCAGAGACTGTGCTTTATGTATATGATAAATGATAGACTTTTTTTTTTTTTTAAAGCAGAATAGCTATGACCTTTCAACTACAAGTCGTGCATCACAATTCCTTTCTTTTATTGCTTGACCTCTCTGTGATGGGAACAATGGATCAAAAACCAAAATGATCAGTTTGTTAAAATTCCCTGCAATATATAAATGCTCGCTCTCTACGTACTGTACTTAGCAGCATGAGATTTGTGGACAACAATACAGTGGTACATTGGCAATCCATCCCACTAGGGGTTATTAATATATGTTCATTCATCTGTTTTTATGAATTTTTTTATCTAGACAATAATTGTAAATAAAGAACTTACTCTGTCTGTTCATTTAATACTATGCAAAAGGTTATGCTTTCTATTGTTATTCTTATTCCTACAGTGTGATGCTGGAATGTTTGTGGTTTCAAAAAAAAAAACAAACAAAAAAGACAAAAGTAAGTAAAATATGTGATGTAAATTATTTTATAGTTTGAAACAAAATGATAAAGATTTACTCTTGCTGCTTTCTGTCTAATAGATCTCTCTTGGCAGGAGCACAAGTGGAAAATTTAAAGAAATAAATTCACGAAGCAGCATGAACAATAATGGTCTGAATGTAACAGCTTTCTTTATTCTCACCTGAAATCACGAGATGCAGCTCTGGATTTCCAATGGGATATTTGGATGTGCAGGTGGATGGAAATCTGGACTGGCAGTGAGGACCCTGCTCCCCAGGCAGAGTTTGCTTTCCTTGCCCCAGGGGCGGAGCAGCCCCCAGGGCTTTAATCCCTGCCTGCCTGGCCCATTCCCTGGAGCTGGGAATGCTGCAGGGAAATCGCTGCACTGAGTGCTCAGGAAAGTCAAATAATGAAGTGAATTTGCTTAGGGAACAAGGAGTTTAATCTTGGCCCTGAGAACAGCAGCTCTCTAAGGCTTTTCCTGTCATTGATGACAGCTCTGCACTTACACTGATTTTTTTTCAGCTCTTTCGCCCTCTGCCAGAGTGAGAAAAATGAACTTTGAATTTTTAGAACTGGGGAGTGCATCAGGACTCTCAGCCAGGAGAATTAGAATTGGGGAGTTCAGTCCAGGACTCCTCCTGCCACTGAAGACCTAGGGAAAAAGGAGGGAATTCTCATTCCAGTGCTCAGGCCCTGAGCCCAGAAATTCCTTCTCTTTTTTTTTTCCAGCTTAGATGGATGCAACTTTGCTCATACAATATTGTTGCTTTAGGAGTTAGCCAAGCAGGCGAGGTATGAGGTGAGTGGCTGTCAATTAATCTCATTTGTAAAGGTAAAATGCTTCAGATTACAGATTTTCCCATCTTCTCACCTAGATTTCAAACTTTTTATTCAACAATTCTCTATCAGAAGGTATACTTGATAGAGGCCACAATGAAATAGTGCTACACGGTGAGGAAAGTTACCAACAAATAAAAGTATACTCAGCACAGTGAATTCAACAAAACCCCTAGAGAAAACAATTATTTAGACAGCAGATTTCTTGGACTAATGTAGCTTTACAGCTACTTTGGAATGAAACTGTTTTCTGCTTTGATTTTGGGAGCTTGGGTAGGTAATAATCAGAAAATATTTTTAATTTAATTCCCTGTCAATAATTTCCCTCCTCCTTACACACAGAAGTTTATTTGCAGTGTTAGTCCGAGTGCTTTTGGCAGGACTCTCCATCTCTGCAGAGAAGCATCTGTGAGTAGGTGTTGAAAAGAAAAATCTCTGGCTTTGTTCAGTGTGTTTTGGGCCCTCTGGGAATGCTGCAGCCCCAGAGATGTGCTTTAGGAGCTTCACCTTTGCAGCAGAGTTTGTGAAATACTTCTGGGATGGATGTGAGTTGTAGGTGCAAATTGGGAAGAAAAGGAGGGATGAAATTCCCCAGAACGCTAAATTCCTGCTCTGCGCAGCAAACTGAGGCTTCAGGAAGAAAGGCACATATTTGAGGCTATTAATCACTTAGGGAGAAGCAGGTTGATATCAGGTTGATATCAGGTTGATATCAGGTTGAATACTCTGATTCAAAATAGGAATGCTGGAAGTTTTTATCTGTTTTATGCCAAGACCATGAGGGTAAACATTGTGATCTCCACCATGAGGGTGATGATTTGCTGAGGTGCTGTATTGATAAGGAAGGGGAAAATGGTACATAATAGCAGATAAAGGAGAGGCAAAACGGAGAAATGAGGGAGAAAGAGGAAGAAAATGCAGGTGCATCTATAATATGAAATGAAATGGAGTAGAAATTGCTTGGTTTTGACTTGTTGCTGGCTTGATCTGGCACTGAGTTGCAAGCCAAGAGTATTCCCTGTCTGAAGGCCCTTTCCAAAAAAGTCCCAAACTGCTGGGAGTAGGTGACCTGCAGCATCCCTGTGCCCCTGGGTGTCTGCTGCTGTCCCATGCCACCAGGAGGGCTGGCACCACCTGTGGTGCTCTTCCTCCCTGGGGCAGCCAATGTGGGCACGGGTGAGGCGCCAGGGCTCAGCTCTTCCCACTTCCTCCTGCTATTCCAGCACTTTTAGAGTGGCTTTTGAGGCACCACAAAAGGTAAGCGCTGGATATTTGCCATTTGTGTTTGTATTCCTGAAGCTGTGTGAGACATTGGCAGAATAGAACATAATAATAATAATAATAATAATAATAATAATAATAATAATAATAATAATAATAATAATAACAACAACAATTTTTAAATGTATTCCTGGCTCAGATCTGGACAAGGGTCCATGCGTGCATCGCCCTGGGCTATGAACTACAAATCCATATTTCTGATTTTATGAAATCCTTGTAGGGAATGCTCGAGTTTGATCACTAGCACACTGCTGTAGGAGGTATTGTGAAAAATAGGGAAGTGTCTGATTCTGGTTTTCTTTTTACAAGCAGGTTTTAACAGGCACATTATGACCTAACCTGATGGGAACTGAAGAGAAGTATGATTAAAAAACTCATTTATTAAACGGGGCAGACTGTTTAAAAAACACAAACCCAAGGAAATATTTATAACAACATTTTCTCCCATATGTTCAAACAAACTGATTTTCTGTCTATCTGGGAGCCCACGTTTGCCTGGTAATAAGTGAAGTGTTAAATTCCAAGTAAGGGAATGTGCTTCACTCCTTCCTCTGATGGATTTGGTTGATTTTCCAGCAAATTACAAAGCACCTCCCTCTACTCCTTGTGTGTGGGCATTTAAGAATCTCTAGGAATTGAGCTGGTATAAATCAGCATTGTTGGTGCACAGCAAACAGCTTTCACAAGACTGTGAAAATCAGAAAAATGAGTTATGCTTCTTTGTTTGAGCTTTCTTGGAAAGTTTCACAGAGCACCTGCTAAAGTTGACCTTTTATCCCAGAATCTGAGAGCAGCCAGGGTTGGAAGGGACCTCTGGAGATCACCCAGCCCAACCACCACCAAGGCAGGGTCACCTGGAGCAGGTGACACAGGAACACACCCAGGTGGGTCTGGAATGTCTCCACAGAGGGTGACACAAGGATTTATAAAGCTTCCTAGTGCTTTCATCAGTCAGTTATCTAAAATTATTCCAGCTTCAAGTTTCAAAAGAGGCATTTAAAATAATTATCTAAAATTATTAAAGAAAATTTAATAAGAATGACAGGATGATAAGTCACAGGAGTGAGTTACTAATACTTTCTCACCATAGCGTGTCAAATGGGAAAGCTCTCTTATGCTTCTTTGCATATGGAGAGTTAATTACAATTTTTAATTTGATACGTGTTTGGAATTATGTTCTAGAAGACAAAGATTCCAGGAGTTCTAGGAGATGTCACTGTGCACATAAATAGTGCTCTGTGGAAGGAAGGGAACCCAATAGAAACCTTCCTGTCCCAAATGACCCTGCTGGACCAAATACAAACCATCCTGTCCCAAATGACCCTGCTGGACCACATACAAACCTTCCTGTCCCAAATGACCCTGCTGGGTGCCCAGCACTGCTGCTTGGCCCTGTGACAGCCCTGCTGATCCTCCAAAAGCACTGGCTGGGAAGAGCACTGGAGTTCCTGGCCTGGGCCAGACTGTTCTCCACTTGTTTGTTTGGGATTTCAGTGGCTTTCTCTCCAGTTCCAGCCTGGTCTCACCATCTGGTTTGGTGGGGAGTGGTGCCTGATCAGGGAATGATGCCGTAATTCATTCAGAGTAAAATGTTCTACCAAGCCTACAGAACAAAGGGAATTGAGCTCCCCAGCAGAGATTCAGTGCTCCGGACTGTCTTTGTGTCCTGCCACCTGTCAGAGAGGATTTTGGCTTCAGAGGCAAAGCCGCAGGGTCACAAACATCTGCAGAGAGGAGGGATTCCTGCCAGGCAGAGGCTCCCCTGTGCCAAACCCATCACACTGCCTGGGAAGGCAGAACGAGCTCTGCCTGCGCTTTAGGAAGCTGCTTCTGGTGCCATAGGGGCCTTTGGGAGATTTTATTCTACTAGCAAGAAATAAATCCCTTCTAGCTGGTTTTATTATCCTGCTGTCTGTGCTTGGGAGGGATTTGGAACATTTCAGTATTTCTCTATTACATTTTCTGTGCTATTTTCTGAAAGCCTGAGGTGATAAAAGTGGCTGTCGTGAAATATTCCTTCTGACTTCTTTCCTGGTATTAAACTCCACAGTCTCCTGTATCCCACGACTCCTGGATATAAATTGTATTTTCACTGGATGAGAAAACCCAGAGAAAACCCACTTTGGCTGAGCCTGCTGCAGGGATGATTCAATTGCCTTTCTTTTCATTTTCATGTATCAGGACAGAAGCACTCCCCAATAATGCCAAAGCATTTTGTCTCCTCAGTGTTCCTGCCAGGACATTTTGTTCCTGAAAATTTGGAGGCTGATCTATGATCTGCCACTGGCAGAGCATCCTTTTGCTAATGGTGAGCCCAGTGGAAATTTGCCATCCCTCCAAACAGCAGACACTGCAAATAATGGCTGGGACAGCCCTGAATCACCTCACATCAGAGGAAAGCTTTGCTACCTATAGTCAAAAATTAATTTAATTTCTTCATCAATGCAGGACCTCTACAGTCTCACCAGACTGAAGTGTCTGGTTGTATTATTAAATCCTGAAATGGGACAAAGCTGTGGTAACAATTTGAGTTTGCTTTCTTCTGTAGTTCATGCACACGTTGCATTTTACAGATCATGGGTTTATTAAAAAAAACAACCAAAAACATTCTTTATGTTCCCCAGAAATCTGCATTAAGCAGGGAAAACAGGCAGGTACTTAAACATCCTGAATGATCTCTCCTTGTAAATTAGTTCCACAGAATATCATTCCATAAATGCTGTCAAAGTAGAAAAAAATCTGGCTGGCTTAACAAAAAAAATCAAACTACTAGTCATTGCATTCTCCTGGGCTCAGAAAATGCCTGCTTATGATGTCAAGACTTTGCAGGCAATGTTGGAAAGGAAAAGAGAAGAAATCCTGCCTTTTGCAATGGTAGCAGCTTTAAAAAATACTGCTTTTTCTCCTGAAGCTGCAACTGAACAGTGTCAGAATGGCAGAAAAGTCCAAATACTGCAACACTGATCAAGTAACTTCAACACAGGAAAAATGTCCATTCTTTAAAGAAAATTGTAGGTGAAGCCATTT